GGGATGTCAGCGTCCACGTTGAGCTCGCCGCAACAACGCATGGACAGCGTCCCAAGCATTGAGCCTCGGGCCCAGTCAAACGCCCGGCAACGTCTCTCCCCTCTTCTTGTCTCCAGCCTCCTTCCTTGCCCACCCACCTAATTGCTGATGCTGAAGTCTCGTGGGGCACAGTCTGGAATCTTTGTGGTGAATTCCTATGTGGGCACTTGCGCGTCGATAACTTGCGGTCTCGCACTCGGCATTACTTTGACGGCATCCTCGAGCTTCGTTTCAGCCACCGCTCGCGCACACTGTTTTCTTGATGTCGGAAGCTTAAAGGCGCACACTTCAAACGTGCACCACACATCACAACCGTCGGACGGTACCATGGGGAAGGGCGTGAGGGGTTTAAAAGTTTGATTTTCACCTGGTTTGTGCCATCGAGCGGGGCCCAGTTCAACCAAGCACGACCACCATCTTAGTGGCCATGGCAAAAAAATTATTCACTGGCCGTTGTTGCTGCTGTGGCTCCCGCTACTTTCGCTCTGCTGCTACTAGTGTCGACGGCCACGCAGTAAAGCCGAGCGAAGTTGCACATGACATCAGTGACGTGAATGTGTTCATTTTGAGGCAGGTAATTTGGAGCGTGCTAACGCGAAGCGGATACTAAAACGAAGTTTTATTTCAAATAGGCACTTTCTTGGCACGAAAGTGGTACTACAAGGTTTCTTGAGTGTAATTTTAGCAATAAACATCGACCTAATATTTGCCTTCGTGCCCCTTTAAAGGGGCCCTGCAACACTTTTGAGCATGGTCAGAAAACTTATCCGATGGGCTCCCGAGACCACGTGAACCAAATATTATAGCGCAGCACATGGCCTGAAATTCACAATAAATGATCAAAGTCAGCTAAAAATTGTTTCTCGTTTCTCGACAAATATTAGAAGACGCTCAAAACTCACTCGTAGAAAGCCGTCTATCAGCCATTGGCTGATAGGACAGATATAGATTCAACGTGTTCGGATTGACGCGCTGCCATGTCTTGCCGCAAAGCAGCCGTTTGAAGGTAAATAATCTCTTCTGCGTTGTGTAGGTGAAGATGAGGAATAATATAATGCAACATACAGTGTTTGGGCGCGGTGATGTAACGTGCTGGTAAACAATTAATGCTTTAGACACGGCAGTCTCATCAACATTGGTGCGGCGAATTTGCTGCCATTTGTTTGGAGCGTCGAAAAATTCATGTCGCGCAATATTTGTGTTGGACAACATGCCAATGAAATACGAAGTATATTCGGGTAGGCTTGTAGCTCTAGCTGAAGTAATACATATTTGCTCAGCAATTAAATATCCCTAAACTGTTCTCTGTGCGTGAGCTTCGGCTTTACTGTCCAACGCTTCTCTTTTTTTCGTTTTTTTTTCGCGGAATTAAGCTTGACGGTTTAAAAGTGATCGAATTAGATCAAAACGTGATCACACAGTAATGTTAAATTAATGTGCTCTGACTTTTTTTAGAATTCTCGAGGAAATCAGAATACGAAATTGTATGCGACACGAATGAGTTGTGTTAATAATAGCTGTGCAAGGCTGTTAATCATACCATGGTGTATCTGTACCTTTTACCAATGTATACATAGGCGTGTATAATTATTCACAAACGTTTTTCACTGTATGGTAGAGGGATTTGCAGAAAACTATCGCACGTTCAAGGGCACAATTCAGCAGGACTTCAATTATGGCTGCTTCATAAAAAAAAATATCTCACAATGGTATATTAATCGATCTAGTCACGTATTAAGAGGGGAGAATTAAGAGCAACACAGCCCCGCCCCGGTGGTCTAGTGTTAAGGTACTCGGCTGCTGACCCGCAGGTCGCGGGTTCGAATCCCGGCTGCGGCGGCTGCATTCCGATGGAGGCGGAAATGCTGTAGGCCCGTGTGCTCAGATTTGGTGCACGTTAAAGAACCCCAGGTGGTCAAAATTTCCGGAGCCCTCCACTACGGCGTCTCATAATCATATGGTGGTTTTGGGACGTTAAACCTCACATATCAATCAATTAAGAGCAACAGTTTCTGCTTGCAGGAGTTACCTGTAATTGCGATTACAGTACTTGTGTTTTGGTTGAGAGCAGTATTGGTTTGGGGCACACTGCACAATTTTCTAATTATAAGCCAACACTAGTTGGATGTTGATAAAATTTAATTTTGGCAGAATTGAACGTGCAAAGTGGTCAATACAGTTTCGCTAGCGGTTTAAATATTTCTCTTAGATGATCCCGTACGCACGAGATCTACGAAATTTAAAGCGTCTGCAGCATACCCAGGAAAGCAATCAAGATGCTTCACGGCTCGTGCACAATCTACAAAATTTTTAATAAATGGAGTTCAGTTTCAATGCCAAGCTTGTTCGGCTATATGCACCGCAGGGGTCCACTGCGGGAACACGATTGGGACCAGTTCAAGTGAGCTGCAGGTGGTCTAATTTCTAGTGGGGACCAGTAGCCATTGGGTCCCAACTGACACTTATAGTTCAAGGGGTTTAGGGTAAAATTATCAGTGGAGACCAGTTGCCGGTGGGTCTCAACCGGGACTAGTGGAATATTTTCACCTGTAACTGTCATTTAGCATACTGATGCCGCGAATTTCATGTCAATGCTCCTTCAGAGTTTTTCTTCTCATATTCCATTATTTTAAGTAAGAAGTATAATAAAGAAAACTGTTTCTCAGAAACTTATAGTCATCGCAATCAACTGCACTGTAGCATCTTGCTCAGCCATTTGCGTTTGTAATTAGGAACAAAGAGCGTTAATGAGTGATTTTTCGCATTAAACTTCAGCCGCCACAGATTGTGCCAAGGTGATGTAGTAACAATGAATTCTTTGTACAATGTACCGTAAATACTGATTACCGTAACACTATCTGTACGTATCATAAGAGATATTAAAGGTGTACCTAGCTAAGATAGTTTTCTTCAATTATAGGTCGGAAAACTCACCCATCATCACTCAAACTCACACCGACACACATCGAGCCGTACGAGTTCGAGTGAGTTCGGGTAAGTAATACTTTGGGGTGTTTCAGTCCGGGTGAGAAAAAATCTTAGTGAGTCTGAGTCAAGTTAAGGAAATTTTGGGGAAGTCTGAGTCCGGTTGAAGAAATTTTTGGTGAGTCTAAGTGCGCCCTAATTAAGTGAATCTGAGTGAGCCCCACTTTTTTTTTTGCCGACATGTGGTCCTGTGTGTAGTTGAGCTTCAGCTGAATGTCTGTTGATCAAAGGCATAAATTACACTAAGGGATGAACAGGGGCGCCTTGACTACCGTCCCATCCATCCCCTCAATTTTCTTTCATGGAACTGAGTTCTTGATATCTAGTGTGGGCATAACTCGGCATACTCACTCATGAGTACACTTACTCGCACTCACTCCTACTCATTTGAACGTGGTGAGTGTGAGTATGAGTGAGTACTTATGAGTGTGGGTAGGAGTGAGTATAACGTGAATGAGTACTCATGAGAACTCATGAGTATGAACGTGAGTGAGTACTTTCAGAGTGATTAGAAGTGAGTATAAACGTGAGTGAGTTCTCTGAGTGTGAGAGTATGAACGTAAGTGAGTACTCATGAGTGAGTAGTGGTGAGTATGAACGTGAGTGAGTACTTTGAGTGTGAGTATGAGTAGGTATGAACTTGAGTGAGTACTCATGAGTGGGAGCATAAGTGAGTTTGAACGTGAGTATTCATAAGCGTGAGTATCCGCGAGTATGAACGTGAGTGAGTATACTCATGAGTGTGAGTAGGAGTGAGTATGAACGCGAGTGAGTATTCTTGAGTGTGAAAAGTATAGAGTGTGAGTGAAATGAACGTGAGTGTATACTTATGAGTGTGAGTAGAAGTGAGTTTGACATTAGTGAGTATACTCATGAATGTAGGTATTTATTAGTATGAACGTTAAATATATCCTTGAGTGTGATTAGGAGTGAGTGAGAGCTCATGAATGTGAGTGGGCGTGAGTGCGGAGGTGAGTGAGGGCCTATGATCTTCAGTAAGCGTGAGTATGGATGTGAGTGAGTAACTATTAGTCTTAATTGAGGTGCACGGAAAATTGAATGACAAAAGAAATTAAGACACTTGGACACGGCGCGCTGTGTCCAGGTGTCAATTTCTTTTGTCATTCAATTTTTCGCGCACCTCCATTAGAATGAATTACTAATTCGCCCAGCAGTCCGTGCTTCTCTAACTAAAAGTATGAGTAGTCGTGAGTATGAACATGAGTGAGTTCTCATGAGTGTGAGTAGTCGTGAGTATGAATGTGAGTGAGGGCCTATGAGTGCGATTAGACTTGAGTATGAATGTGAGTGAGTGCGAAGGCTGAAACAATTGTGGTGAGTAAATATGAGTGAGTAGTCCCTCAAAGTGCCGACCTATGCAGATATCGCCCATAATTGGTGCGCTACCTAACGCCGTTTCATCTCGAAGCTTCAAATACAAGCTATCAGTGGTTGTAACACGGTAAAGACGTCGTCAATGACAGACATAACCCACACAGTCTTCGATATTGGCCAGCTCTGTACAAGAATAATCCAAAGCTTAAGACAATCTGTTCATACAGATCAAGTTTAACCTAGATAATGACCCTAACAGGTCTAGTTTCGTCATTTCATTTCCCCGCTTTTCGCACTGCTCGGTAAGGTTGCAGCTTGCAAGTTGTTTCTGGCAGTAGCAATCATTATTGCAATCGAAAGCATGATACATGGCCTTTGAGATAGGTATGTACCCTGCCCCTAAATTAAATTTTCAAGGATGCACACTTAAAAAAAAGAGCAAAACCGCATTAAGTTTTACCCATTTTCCGTTTGCGTAAACTTATAGAAAATTGTTTAGGTTGTTGGATAGTGAAAATAAAAATACTTTAACGTGATATCTGAACAATACAAGGAAGTACAACCAGCGTTACCAACATTGATACAACATACAAGTCGTCACAAAATGATACAATGCAATAGTGTTGGCGCCAAGCGCCATCCAAACCTACAAATACGTGTATATTACGACACTCGGTGTTTCCGTCTGTTTATTTGGTTACAGTGGAGCTGTTTGATTGTGACAAGCGCTTGGGCTTGAATGCTGTGTCATCGGCGCGATGACGGAGGTACGTGACGAGTTCACGGGGGAGCCTGCCGATCAAAATATTAGTGTCTACATTAACTCCAAGATGGAAGCATTTTGCACCGACCTCATATTTCCTTTTGGTATTCCAGCTAACGGCATTATTTCAGTGTTCGTCGGTGACTTTTCGGCTTTGGACCCACGAGAAGGCTATGAGTGGACGGAAAGGGCTGATAATGTCAGTAAACAGAAACTGGTTGTGCTCTGTCGACCGTACCAGGGTAAGCCCACGTGTGTGCTCGTGCCCCATGTTTTGCCAAGCTAAGGCGAACGTTATTTGGAAGAGTCGCAAGAATACACTGTTCTCTCGCAAGACATCATGGAAGCTGTATGTAAGGAAGGAAAGTCCACCAGTGACAGGATGGTAATCAGTGGGGCTCACTTGAAACTGCCGAGCACTGAGCTTGGCCTGCCCAACATTGAGCCTGACGAAAACGACCGTTCTTCTGCAGTGGATTTAGAAGAGTTCACCGTTGGCTCTCCGGTTCCGAGTGTAGACGATGCTGATGTGTCAGGGTCCCCAGTTGACCCAGAGCTGCCGCATATTATTGACCGTTCTGCGCCGGCTTTTAACTTATCTTCGTCTTCAGAAGAGTCCGAAGACGAGTCGCCTTGCGTTAAGAAGCGGAGAAATTTCCCCAGAAGAGCTGCAGCAGTACCGAGCTCTGCGAAATGTTGGTTTTGATTGATTGATTGATTGATTGATTGATTGATTTATTTGTGGGGTTTAACGTCCCAAAACCACCATATGATTATGAGAGACGCCGTAGTGGAGGGCTCCGGAAATTTTGACCACCTGGGGTTCTTTAACGTGCACCCAAATCTGAGCACACGGGCCTCGACATTTCCGCCTCCATCGGAAATGCAGCCGCCGCAGCCGGGATTTGAACCCGCGACCTCTGCGAAATGTTGGTAACATTTACTTTCGAATGAATAGCATGATGTTCTTTTTCAATCCAAAACAATGTTTTCTTTTGTCATTGTGGTGCAGTACGTCTTGCCGGGGCAAGCAGTGAAGGGATTAATTGAGCTGATCTAACAAAGTATGTTCCTAATGATCTAGCAGACAGCTGTAAAAATATTAAAAACTATTCGGGCTTTTTTTTGTTCACTTACTTCACTTTTTAAAGGGCTTTATTTTCTTCAGTTAAAAATCGCATAACAACTTCAAGTAGCCTTTTCTCTACCTTTCGTTTCTGACTTTTGTAAAAGCACATAACTTGGTGTTCATTCAAGCCAAAGTACATAAAAAATTATAGCCACCCCCCCTCCATGTTGCTAATTTTTCACATAATGCATGTATTTGTAGTATTGTTGGTACTTGAACCAGATGACAGTGTGTGTCCAAGTTGTGTGTAATGTACTTCTTAACTGTTCCCTACCTTGATATTCAGAATTAGGTGTAGTTATATATTCTGGTGACACCAAGCAATGCTTGATGTCACAGTGTGCTGGTGTTTATTTATGTCCCTGCATAACTAGGTTTTTAACTGTGCCACACATAAACTTTTATGCACCCAGTTTTTCTGCTGGAACATTACGGGAAGCATGAAATGGAACTGGCAGTAAAAATCTCATATGGCTGTTGATCCAAATTTGCAGTGATTCACCACCCATTTGAAGTGCAAACTGCATTTGCTGTCGATACCCTTTTACGCACCAAAGTTCTATTGATGTTGCATATATGAAGGTGTAGAACTCTACTGATACAACGGAGTACTCATGCACACTTTTGAACACGTGTAATCTTTTTGATGCAGTTCTCATAAGTAAAAAAGTTGTATTTTTATAAAGGCCAGCTAGAAAGTTTCTGGTCCAATCTCGAAGGAATTACTTCTTAGGTATAAAACTGTTCCAACCTAAAGCACCCTTGAAATGGTTTTTTGAAGTTTTGTCAGCGGTTAGGCTGAAGAATCATCAAGCCACTTGCACAACAAATTTAGCGACACGTCGTGTACCCAGGCCGCTATGGACAATTATATCATGCCCTTCTTCTCACCGCTGCTGTGCCTCTTCAACCCATGAAACACGCTGGAATCACTGGGGATCCCAGAGCTCTCATAAGCATACTCGACAATTTGAGCTTTGCCAAGTCATGACCTCCGAGATTGCACGCTGACGGGTTGCACGCCATCTCGTAATCACCCAGTGTGCCATGGAGCATGCATGCCGTCTGGCAACAGAGACGAAGATTGCACAGTGATTGATATCTGCTCTGACAGGGGCTGTCACCCCACCAACCGATCTTACTTAGGCCCATTCCACAGCCAACCAGATCAACAGCCTGGCTGATACTGGGTGAATAGGCGATTAAAAATGCATTTGGCTAAGTCACAGTGATCTGCAGCAATTGGCAGCTTTAAAGCCTCCTAATGAATTTCACAGTTTGCACAGAGTGCTCAAATCTGTCTATAAGTGACCCATAGGATTCGGTATGCTGGCCAGATGTATTTATACAAAATTTTCAAAACCATTTCAGGGTCCCTTTAACTAGTAAGTAGGTGGTCGCCTTATAAAATCTGCAGCACATTGCTGATTGCACATTGATTTGCTTTTAGAGCAAAAGCTGTTGTGCGATCACAAGTCATTTTTAGTGCTGTACTTGCCCGCTGCCGCCGGTAACCACAACCACTATCGCGTGAAATAAGAAGAAAAGAAAAACTAAATAATTTAAAAATGTCATGGACAGAGTGGGATTCCAACTGAGGCCCCTAGTGTGCTGACCAAGTATTCCACCAAAAAAACTCATTCTTGAATTTGCAACAGTATCATACTTGAAAGTAATTTTTGCCATGTCAGGCCAGAAACTTTCTATTTGACCCTTTTAGTACCTAGGCTGGACGACTAATTATATAATTTATTAAAGGCACTGGCAGATCCAGCGACTCATTTTAAGGGGGGCGGTTGCCTGAAAACAACTTAGAAGGGGGTGCGTTCATGACTTTTTTGTTTTTACTAGGAGAAGAACCCTTTTGTAGCATAAATACTGTTCATGTGTGCTCACAGTGGTTTCACTCATTCTTAATAATTGGTTAAAGGATGTGCACAACGGGCACTAGAGTAGAGGGGGGGGGGGCCTGTGCTGACACAGACTTCAGGAAGAGGAGGGGGGAGATCGTCCCAACCTCTACCCCTCTGGATCTGCCACTGATTAAAGGGACACTGAAGAGAGACATTGACTTGGTTTAGACTAATACATAGCACTCTGAACACTATAATGCCTTAAGTTTTGCTACCGTGAGTTCACGATTCGTGGAGGAAATTGAGGTTGAAGATTAATTTCAAAATTTTGCTCTCGAATCTCTGCTCGTGCTGTCGAAAATTTCAAAATGTGTTTGTCGTATTTGCACAACATTGGCTCGACGAAATTTTCTGATACTTCGTATGCTAGGCCTATGGCAACCACAAATGACAATGTACTTCAATAATACCGAAAGTTGGGCAAGTTGGTGGTTCATGCTTGGGATGTACAAATAGCGCAAAAAATATGAACAAGGACAAAAGTAGAGACAACACCGCACCGTCAGCGCCATGTCGTCTCTTCCTTCACCCTTTTTTATATTTTTTGCGCTATTTTTACATCCCAAGAAAGACAAGGTACTTCATTTTGATCGATTGGAAGCTTTGTAGGACTCAATAGACGCCTTCAAAATTTACGACATCATGGTGTTTGGTGCAGGGACCTCGAGATGGCATCTCCACTAGCATATTCTTCTCGCCAATTTTTCTCGCTTACCAAGCATTGTCTCGCGGAAGAGTTGGGTTTTTAGGACTGTGAATTAGTACTTTACAAATGCACGAAAATTATTTCTTTTCGGTGTCCCTTTAAGATCAGTTTCGAAATGCCAGACCTGGCATCACCGATATTATCGTGATCTTGGGATACAGAATAGAATTTGCTGACGTGTAGCAGTATGTAGATTATTTTTCCTAGAAAAAGTAAATGCATTAGATTGTTGTGTTTGTTCCTTGTGTGCTTTTTGTTTTTGTTTTTTGTGAGAGCTGCACCAACCGCTGACTTGGTATGGAGTCAACCTATCATGACACAATACCAAAATTGTTGCTGGTTTTTAGAAACTATAATTGTGTTCCATTATTTAGGCTGCATGGACAGTGGCCATGTTTTTTTATAGCATTGATATTTAGAGGGTTGGGGTCATAACTGAACACAAAAATGAGGTAAAAATGAGGGGCAAGCACTTCTATTTTGCTGCTTTTTATTGTTATTACGATATGTCCCTTGAAGTGAATCATTTGATAATTATATACATGGGCATTGCGTTTAGTTGTGCAAGTAATGTCCACCTCTTACTGATAACTAACCCAAACAAACTGAACTGTACAAATGTGCTCATATAGTGATTTAAAATGTTCAATCTCTGAGAAAAACACTGGTGTTAGTACCCAGACTGTCTGTCCAGTATGGCACAGCATGTTTTGTTATCTCTCTCTTTTTGTTGGAAGGTTCTTCTTTAAGCAAGAACCAAGTAACTAAGTAACTAGATTAATTGCTTGGCAGTGGAGCTTCTGAAATCTCACGTATATGTGTTTTCTTTACATCGTCATGCAGCTTCCATTGACGAGCCAGTGAGTGACGACGACGTGGACGAGTTTCTTTGCGGCATCTGTAAGAAGAGCTTGAGGACGCGGAAATCTTGTCACCACCATGTATGGAGCCATCTTAATCCGGCAGACAGTTCCAAGCGTTTCAAGCGTCCCGCATGCATCAAGGCTTTCAGCACCAGCTGGGCACAGAAGTACCATTACAAGATGAAGCATGTCGGGACCCGACGTAAGTGCTCACAATTCGATGCAACTTTTGAAAGTGATGTAGCGCTTTCTCTTCACCATCGTCGTACACACACTAGCTGCGCTAAGATTCACACGTGTGAGTACTGCCTGCATATGTTCCAGCGACAATATGCTTATAGCATACATGTGAGTAAGACGCATGAAGACGGTACGTTTGAGATGCTAAGCCGCACTCCTGGACTCTAGCTTCGCTGTTCCCATTGTTCCAGCTTCACCACATCGTCGGACGGGGTACTCACTCGGCACCTACAAAGCACGCACCCCGAGGCCAAGACGTTTCGTTGCACCATGTGCTCGCTCCTGTTCCAGGTACGCCTAGCTTGTTAAATGGAGAAAGTGCTGCTAATTATGAGAAGAATGAAAGACTGCAGAAGTGTGTGAATAGGAGCTGTTCTTTTTTATAGCCAATTGCGCACGAAGAAATATTACCACAAGCTAATCAAACAAAAAATATTTTTCTTAAGTACAGTTTTCAAATACCGTCTAGGTGTTGTAATCAAGCACTTTTCAGATTCTGGTATAAATATTACGAAGTCTCTTTCGTTGCACTGCACATTGCTAAGATCATCGCCACATGCTAATAAATGTGCAATGGGGAATAGGTTCAATTAAGCACATTGTAAATGCTGGCATGTGCTTATCATACAGACTTTATGAGATTGTTGCTGCCTAGCTAACTATATTACCTTCGCAACCAAACCAAAAAAAGTGCCGCCATATCCACGAAGTGAATGATGATGAGTGGGCGAAGCTTCGGAGGTAAACCTGGTAAACCATGAATCCTCTGTACATTTTGCCCACTCGATTTTATTACATCGCTCCCCCTAGCGTACGTCGCCGCACTAAATCGAACGATTGCCTTCAACCAATGACACGCGCCATATGTGACATCAATCCTATTTTATAAGATCTCGCGTCTTTCATCAACTACAAGTACCGCTTTCTAGTTTATAACATCTTGCATCTTTTCATCATCAGCTACAAGTACCACCATCTAGTAAACACTACAAGAACTAAACGAGACGTGGCTACATACAGGAGACGGTACCGCCATCTAGTGAACACTGCAAGAACTAAACTAGAGGTGGCTACATACAGGGGACGCACAGCCCACGCCCTAAGGAGCTTCGCCCCTAAAAACCTTGCTACAGTGGCAAAACAAAAAGAGACGTACATTTGATGTGGTATGAATGGTTGTACATATAGTGCCACTATTAAATCGCGTATGTTCACATGAAACATATTAGGATTTGATCCGACTTGACGGCAAAGATATCATGTTTATAAGTACTACTCTAACATCATACAGTGAACGCTAACTTGAAGGATTGTCATTTTAATCAGTATTTCAGAATAACGAACTTATGGGAAATCTCGGTGGGTTTCCTTTGCATTCTATGCAAAAATCTTTCAGTTAAATGAACTTTTGAAAAGTATATATTTCATTTGAATGAACTTGATCTATTATGCCTGGCTCATTTATGAGATCAATTCAATTAAATTTCAAGCTACAGAACACTGGCACAGCTGATGGGAGTAGCCCTCATCGTGCATCAATCGGCCATGGTGCAACATTGCTTGTATATGCACGGCCCGGATTTGAAAGAAAAAAATTGCAACAAGGAATATAAAATGCCTAATTTTATTATATAACCTCCCTTATTCTAATGTCCGATAACATTTAATGAGACCGCTCAATTCTTGGCCAATCCTCCACGGTGTGTGGGAGTCACAGTTGAAGGTGAGCAAGAACAAGTTGTAATGGCTGAAGTAGCTTCAAATCCTGCATCTCTACCAAAGGCTGTGAGATATATTAGAAAGTTACTAGGCTTCGTGTCACAAAAGCAAGCTGTGCCAGAGGCGGTGCACTGAAACATACTCTCTCGACAGCCTTGTTTTTTCTTGCGCCTGTGCAAAAGAAGATTACAAAAGTATTTTTTTAGATATATTGCATTTAATACATTTAACTTGACATCTACTGTGCCCATTGATGTTCCCTATTCTAGTGAATATTCATTTTAGTGAACTTTCTTTTCAGTGAAATGCCCCGCCGCAGTGATCTAGTAGCTAAGGTGCTCGGCTGCTAACCCGCAGGTCGTGGGATCGAATTCCGGCTGCGGCGGCTGCATTTCTTAAGGAAATAGAAATGCTGTAGGCATATGTGCTCATATTTTGGTGCACGTTAAAGAACACCAGGTGGTCGAAATTTCCGGAGCCCTCCACTACGGCGTCTCTCATAATCATATCGTGGTTTTGGGACGTTAAACCCCACATGTCGATTAGTTCTATTCAGTGAGCAATTTCTTTGGGTCCCTCGAAGCTCACTCAAGTGAGTGTTCTCTGCAGTATGCTCTGGCATTTTATTTTCATTGTTGATCGGAAAGTTGTGTCATTTTTGTTTCAATTTAAGTTAGGAAGACACATTGAATGACATGGAAGTATTTATCCACTGAAATGGTCTTGTGGTCATGGTGGTTTTATGATGGCCCAAATATCGCACTATCGGATTCCGGCCACAGTGGCCGCTGTTTGATGAAGGCAAACTGTTGGAGGTCTGTTTGCTTAGATTTGGGTGCACCTCAGAAGGGCCCTGAAACTCAAATTTATTGAAATTTTGTCATTGCTTAGCTGATGCCTCCTAGAAAAAAAAAACTATGCCTGGGATGTGAGCTGCAAAAGCACTGCTCAACCTCTTCTGTTATCCTCTTTTCCTTTCCCACTCGGTACAGTCGCTAGAGACTCTTGCGGCAGCTCCTTGCAATCTGTAGCGGCACTGTTGGTGACCCGAGTAGATAACGCTATGCATGTCGGTGGTGAGAATGCCAGCGTTGTTGGAACAAAGGATTTCATGAAACTATAGTGCGACGAAATGCATCTTGAATGCGCTAGTCACACAACATAATAAATGAGTCCAAAACATTGCTGCGCAAATAAACAGACGTCGAGGAAAGGAAGCGCATGAAGAAAAAGCTACAATGCCCATTTGTGGGGAGCTTTTTCCCGTTCTTGATTTCATGCATTCATGGAAAAAGTGGTGCGTTACTGAGACCTTCGTTCATCTTGCCTAGAAATCCAGTTTTTCTGCATGCCCAAATGCTTGTCGAGCCTCACGAAAAGAGCTGCTGATATTTTCAGAGAGCAGTTTGTGTGACTAGTGACTCGAGGCAACTGCGAGAGATGACTGGGCGTCAACAAGTAACCCTGTAGTGTGCAATAGGAGAGTTGCACGTGATGGCATCCGCTTGAAGCGCTAGCGGCGTTTGCCTCTACCGCCATGTCAGTGGTCTAGGTGCGCCCAATCCGAAGCAGCGAGCGGCAATGAGAGGTTGTGCGCGTGCCGCTACGTATGGTACCAACGTGGTGAAATGCAATGTGTGTATGTGTGCGACTTCCGAGGTGTGACGAAACTTCGCTACGAACATAAGGTTCACCTTTGAGGCGAATATCGACCCGTTCGACTTTAGTAGTAATGAAGCTGTGTGTGATGTGAAGTGTTATTTCCGCATTGAGCTCACGGACATTAAGGACCACCTTGTTGGCGGCACAAGCTTCGCAACAACGGACAAGCCTAAAGCCTATAAATCGATGGACACCCACAACTATGTGACAAGCGGATGGGTCCAACAGCACCGAATTAAAGACCTCGGAGACGGCCGCCGTGTCGTCGTCGGAAACATGACTGGGTCCCCTTGCTTAGTGCTCGGACGAATAATTTTTGTCGCCGTGGTGGTGTCGCTTCAGGAATTCTTTGTTTTGAAGAGTTTCACCGTTTGCTAGAGCATGTGAGGTGATACAATTGGCATAGTTTGTTGGTGGTTGAGCCCAAGCCGCTTGCGATCAAAACTGCTTTTTGCTGCAGGGTCCAACGACGCGCGTCGGGCAGTTGCGCACCTAGAGATCACCTACTGTCTCGATTGATTAGATGCTATGATCGACGTTAACGTGCTCAGCTGACCATTCTCTTAAACAGTGAGCGACGCAGTGCGCACTCGTCAAACCATGGGTAAATGAGAACGCACTGCGGCTTGCTCGAACTGTGTCGCTGACTGTTTACTAACACACCGAAATCAGTAACCCGCCGCACCTACCTGAATGATGCCGCTGATAAGCAGCGATGGCGGACGTAGGGCGCGCGCTCGTCGCCTGCTGCGCAGTGCATTACAAATGCATGAAAAATCTTTCTTTTTAATGTCTTAGGTTCTGGAGACGCTGCATAGCACGTCTCGAAAACCTAAGATTTTCACTACAAAAGCAAACCTCTATGATGTGGCATAGGTTCTGAACACTTACCGGAAAGGAAAGGTTTAACGCACATGCAGTATAGTGTGTGGCTGAGGAATCCAAACCTTTTCACTTTAGGTATGGACATCAGACGCATTCTCATGACCAGGCTTGTTACTCGAGTAGTTGCAGCAACCCAATACGGCACAGTTCGCCATTATAACCACAGGAATATCGCATGGACACCCGTGAGTGTACGTTGTGCGACTGCTTGCAGGCGGCGGCCGGGAGAGAGACCACAAAGATGGGATACGCTGCCTCTTCGACGCTGTGAGCCATCTTATGGGCCCCGCCCCAGTGCAACCCTCCTATAAGGAGCAACTGGCAGGAACACTGCCGCAAAGCTGCTTCAAAGGAAACTTTTGTAGTAAAATGGGCTTTAGCTGTAGCGAAACTTTCTGAAAGGAAATGACTGGCACTCATTACACTGGTGCTTCTCCAGTGCACGCCACGAACATGCAACCAAATGCCTAGACAAAGTAGCCAGATGTGCTGCTCCACTGACACAACGTTGCGAACACAGTTGTTCTCGCCAGTTCCGGCCGTGCAGTAGCTAGCCCCACACGGCAGTGTGGTGCTAGCAACTGCATGGCCGGAACACGTGCATACGGCAGTGTGAGTTTAATAGCAAAGCTGGCGACGTCCAAGGCATAGTTTTTTTCTAGAAGGTATTGGTTCAGGCTACAGCATCATCAAAGCCTTTGCACTCAAAATTATGCCAAGCACTTTGTAAAGGCAGCTATGGTCAAATTATGTGTGACCACCCTTCTCAACTCTGCCTTTCTTCCTTAATTCGTCAAACAATGCACAGCCGTCACTGGAGATGACAGCGATGGCAGTGGTATGTGCTGAACAGAGCAAAGCTCACTGCAGAGTAGTTAAGGTCTGCTCTGCAAGGTGCCGCAGCACTACCAGCTATTGGCGATCTATTTTATTAGATGCCAACAACCTGCAAATGCCTATTGTGGAGGCAAAGAAGAAGTATTTGAGAGTGATCACTGATAGGTTAAACTGGGCCAATCTGATTG